CGAGCTTCCCTCCTCTCTTTTTCCCCAGTTGAATTCGCATCTATCCCCTCTTCCTTTCGTTCCTTATCGTCCCCTCGACTACATCACATCTACACGCATGCAACTCGAGGTACGATCGAGAGCAAGGCTCGTCGATTACGAACGCGAACTTATCTTGGCACCGATCCCCGTGACAACAACAACTGTGAACTCGGCGAGAATTCGGGGTGCTATTTTCTTCGTTAATCGAACCGGAAGAAGCGGCGCGGAGTAATTGCGGAACGGGTCGTGACCGAGTTCGCGTATAAATGGCTCGGCGAAATGGAATCACGAGGGGAGGAGAGGGACACGATAAGTCGACGATCCTGGGAGTTTATTGGTTAACTTGTATTGACAAAACGGTTTTTGGAGCGATCCAAATGAAGGTATGCGCGCGATGAAAGGGACGACCGCCCGAATCTTTCTTTTGTCAACGCGGATTACGTGGCAAAAGTTATCGACGATAGTTTCGATGCGCGGCGGGAGGAGAGAGGGATTGGTTGTGTGTGTGTGTGTCGGATTGTCCTCTTTTCTTTCTCTCTTCCCTCTTTTTCCACCGAACACGGAAGACGGAGAGAGACGGAGGAATTTATTTTTATTTCAGAGCCGGGAAATAACGCGTTACTTTGATTTCTTTGTTCGATGTGCACCTCTCGCATGTGCACCACAGAACCGGTTTACTGATCGATACTTGTTCGTTCCACGCATGTAAACACCGGCCCCCGCGTTTTCGCAACGGGCCAACGGCCGTTTTGTTAAACTCGAGGCCCGAACTTTTGTCGTAAACTATACGCTTTATGCGCGGATAGAGAGAAAGCGCGGCACGCATCTGTACGGGACGATTAGGCGGTGCACGGAGGCGGAGGGGGTTTGGTGGAAAACGGAGAAGGATAAAACAGGAATGCCGGGCCGAGGGAAAAAGAGGGGAGCGGGAGAACGGGACACCGCGTATCCGGGCGAAAGGGAGCGAAGGGTGTGCCGAAGGGAGGGGGAGGGTTGGTTTCAATTAGGAGGCAGTAACTCTCCCAGGCATTGTTCATTTCACTCTAGATTTGTATTCCCCGTTTGTTTGTTCCCTTTGCATTTGCGTTAACCTGAGCAAAAGCGAGCCGCCATGCGTGCATATACGCAATCAGTCGAAGCGGAAAAGACGGGTGGAGACTCGGGGAGGGAGAGAGAGGAGGGAGAAATCGGCATCATCGTTCCGCTCGGCATCATCATCATCATCATCATCATCCCGTATTTTTTCCCTCGGAACCGGCACCCCGTTAGTTAAAACGAAAAAAAAAAAAAAAAAAAAAAGAAAGAAAA